AGCTGACAACCTCTTATTTTTGACCTATTTGGCCTAGATTTTAATGTTATACTCACTGTTTGACATAAAATTTGACCAAAAATTTTTTTGACCTACATTACAAAGTTCTATTCGCTGTTTGACCTGATATTTGAAGTTTTTAATTAAAAGTTTTTTTGACCTGAATTTGCTCATTGACACAAAATTTGTTTCTAGGGTTTCTAGTTTTTGACCTAAAGTTTGTAGTTATTCTCCTTAACAACTAGTTATGTTTGACCTAAAAGGTTTATTTTTGTCTATAGACCTAAATTTTGAAGTTCTATTAACTGACTGCAGGTCAAACAGAACAGTTTGACCTGAATTTTCTACGAAGACATTTAATGATATTTTTCTGTTAATCTTTTTAGTTGACCTAAAATTTAGCTCATTTTTTCTACTTGACGTAAGTGTCAAAAAATGTATTTTCTACTTTTCTTCTTAATTTTGACCTGAATTTTAGTTTATTTTCGCATGTATTGCTTAATACTTAAAATTCACTATTTTTCACTATTGACCTAAAAATTTATTTTTTATTAACCTTAATTAATTATCATACCAACATTTTTTAACCTTTTGACCTAAATTTTATGGTTATTTTGCCCTTTTGACTCAATAATTGAGATTATCTTCACCACTTGACCTGGGTTATTTTACAATTTATTGCGTTACTTAACGTAATTTTCTTTTTTTTTTTTTAAAAAGAAAGAAAAATATTACTAATTTGAAATCAAGTGAAAGAGATATTATAAATTAGGAAAAATTCTAATTTTTGCTAATTTATAATACATGAAATTTTTATTTATAGAGAGATAAGTGAATTAATTATTATAATTATGATATTATTAAAAATTTGTTCTCTCGTCGGTGGAAACCCTAGTTTGAGTTGCGGGAAAAGAGAAAAAGAGGGGAAAAAAAATTCATTTGAACTGAATGTATATAGGCAGGTCATTGAGGCCCTTCAGAAGAAGTTTTATGATAATATTTTTAATCCACTTATAGGGTTGAATATATAGAGCGCATCAGGCGTGGCACCCGGACCTCGTGGTGTTCTATCGATGTCTCTCGATGCACCAGTGTCGTTATATAGTTGCAAAGAATCCAGTTAAGTTCCAGTGCCACAAACGTATCACCACATTCCCTCAGTTCCGAGTTTTCAATCTCCGAGTGTAGTGCTTCCACATATATGTATGGAATTTTTAAAACAAAAAAGAAACAAAATAAAATAAATATAAATAAATAAAGAAAGGAAGGGGAAATTATATCGCGAGTAATAACATTTTTTAGAATTTTTCTTTTCGTAAGTGACTATTTTTTAGTGATGTTTTTTTTGGTAGTGGTTATGAAGAGAAGAATGTAATTTTTTTTTTTTTTGAAAGGGAAAAAGAGAATATAATTTTTTTATAGGGGAAAAAGGAGAGGATAGTTTTTTTTTAAAGAAGGGGAAAAATGCCCAAGGTAGAAGGGGCCCTTGGGCCCGAAGGAGAGAGATAAGAGAGGGAGAAAGAGCGAGAGGAAGAGATATAAATATATAGTGATCTAATGCTCTTCTGGTTCCTGAGGAAGTTGAAATGTTCGTTTCGCTAGTTGAATCTCCCGAGGAAGTACATTCGAGAAGATTCTGAAATGTAAAAGTGCGAAAGGGTTTTTATGATGTCTGCTGCCCTCTGGGGAAATCATTAACGTCTTCTTAAGAAATAAACGTGCGCGCGAGCCGGGCAGAAGAAGGTGCGCTTGTTGAGATAAGAAAATTGTCCTCAAAAAGGACGCACTGAAAAAGAAGAAGAAGAAGAAGAAGAGAAAATTAAGATTGGGACAAAAGTGACAATTCCGAGAAACGCTGCCAGCACTCAAGATTAGTCTTTTAGCGATGAATAAAAATTAAGCAAATAGAGAGAGAGAGAGAGAGAGAGACTGGAAAAAAGTGGGAGAAATTCGTGAAGAAGAGAAGAAGTTGTAAAGTTATGAAGAAGAAATTCTAAATTAAATATACTTTGATTTAAATTTTAAAGGATTTTTTTTCTGCAGAAAAAATAAAGAAATTAGAAAAAAAATACTAAAAGAAAAATAAGAAAGAGAAAAGGAGTAAAGAAGAAGAAAATAAATAGAAAATAAAAGAAAAGAGAAAAAAGCAAGGAATAGAAAAGAAGAGAGAAAAAATTATAAAAACGGACGAAACAGAAAAAGAGGAATTATAAAAAAAGTTTTCCAAAACAGGCAAAAAAGAAACCACAATAATAAAGAAGAAAAGGAAACGAATAAACAAAATAAAAGACTAATAGTAAAAAAGGACAAAAAAGAAGAAAAGGAAACGAAAGCAAAATAAGGGAAAAATAGTAAAAAAAAGGCAAAGGATAAAAAAGAAGAAAAGGAAACGAAAACAAAATAAGGGACAAATAGTAATAAAAGGCAAAGGACAAAAAAGAAGAAATAAAAGAATAACAAAATATAAAAAAGGACAAATAATAAAAAAATAACAAAACAATAAAAGGACAAACAATAAAAAAATAATAAACAATAAAAATGAGCAAGCAATAAAAAAACGTCAAATAATAATAAAGAAGACGAACAATAAAAAAACGACGAATAAACAGAAAAATAAGTCACTGACCAGAAAAATAACGAGCGAGAAAAATTTGAAGAGAAAGAACAGAGAAAGGGCACACATCTTCTTGAAAATATCCTCAAAGAAAATAACAAGAGAAACCAAGTATTTTTTATTCCAAGTATTTTTTCATTCTTTTTTTTTTTTTTGTAAAACAAATATTATTAATCCAGTGGTTTTCTTTCTACTCGTAAAAAAATTTACAGAAAATGTATAAAAATTAAAAATAGAAATTGAAAATAGAAATAAAAATTAAAAATAGAAATAAAAATTAAAAATATAAATAGGTAAAAATTAGAATTAAAAATAGAAATAGAATTAATAATTAAAAATAGAAATAAAAATTAAAATTAAAAATAAAAAGTAAAATTAAAAATTAAAACTAAAATTAAAATTAAAAATAGAAATTAAAATTAAAAATAAAAGTATAAATAATAATAATAAATTTGTTGATTGATAAAATGAAAAAGAATTTAACAAATAAAATATTGACATTTTTTATTTAAGTTAATTAGAGAATTATTCTGTATAACTTTTTGTTCTTGTAGAATAATTATTTATTTATTTTTATCTTTATTTTTAATTATAATCGTAATAATATCTTCTATAGTAATTGTTTCCTATAATAAGTTATTTGATTTTTAACCTAAGGAAAAAAAATGTCAAAGTTAATAAAAAGAGTTAAATAACAAAAAATCAATTAGAAAAAAAGCGAAGATTAACTAAAGAAGAATAAATTGAGAAAAGGAAAAAAAGCAAGAAATAAACATTTAAAAGGGTAAAAAAGTTTAGCTGAAAAAGAAGCAGAAAAAAGGAAAGAAAAAACAAGGTAAAGAAGAAAAAAGAAGAATAGAAGTAAGAAGAAAAATAGAAATAGAAATAAAAGAAGAAAAAGGAGAGAAAAAAGAAGAAATTAAAAAATGTAAACAGAATTAAAACTGAAGAAATAAAGATAAAGAAGAAATTAATGAAAAATAAATAAGAACAAAAATTAAGGAATAAATAGAAGAACAATATAAACAAGAAAAAGAATAGAAATCAAACTGGAGCAAAAATATAAGAATAATTAAAAAGAAAAAAGTAGAAATAAACAAGAAGAAGAATTTAAAAATTCTTAAAAAAACGAGAAGAAGAAGGAGAAGAAAGAGGATAGGAAAAACAAGAAGAATAGAGAAATAAACAGAAATAAAAATAAATGAAATGATAACGAAGAAGAATTGAAGAAAACAAGAAGAATAGAAGAAAACAAGAAGAATAGAAGAAATAATCAAGGAGAAGAAGAAAGTGAATAGAAAAAGCAAGAAGAATAGAAAAATAATTAAAAATAAAAATAGAAGAATTATTACAAAGAAGAATTGAAGAAAACGAGGAGAATAGATGAAATAATCAAGAGGAAGAAAGAGAATAGAAATAAACAAGAAGAATTGAGAAATAATCAAGAAGAATAGAAGAAATAATCAATGAGAAGAAGAGGAGAATAGAAAAAACAAAAAGAATAGAGAAATGAACAAGAATAAAAGTCAAAAAATAATGAAGATGAAAATTTAAAAATACAAAAGAAATAAACAATAGAACTATAAGAAAAAAAAAGAAACAAGAAAAATAGGAGAAATAAATAAGAAAAATAGAAGAAATAGCCAAGAACAAACAAGAAGAAGAAGAAGAAGAATAGAAGAAAATTAACTCTAATGTAAACTAACATAAGAATTTCGACTCCTGACTTTAGATAACGAACAAAACCCCCTTCAAAAAGAATCTCCGTTAAAAGGAATTTTCCAAGACTTCATATATATAAAAAAGGTTAAGAAGTCACAAAAATAAACCGCCGACAAAAGAACTCAATTCGCCAGGCGAGAAATTCTCCCTCTCCTTCTCTATTTTCCATCACTTTGAAAAATACTCGACAAATCCTCAGTAAAGGACAAATACAAAGAACTCAATCAAGAAAGACAGCAGGAAATCCTTAAAGGGCAACTAGAAGGTTTAGGGTGGGAGGGAGGGGGAAGGGAATCTTATATTCTAATAAAGAAACAAGGTATAAACAAGCGATAACAAGAACGATAACGGAATGTGGGGTAGCCTCGTGACCTACAAAGGGAGTCGTTAATTTTCTCTTTCTCTCGAGGGTGCATCACATCGTAGGGGAAGAAAATATCCCCTTCTCTCGCGTTATAAGAAAAAGAGAGAGAAAATCCTTTCTTTCGAATTAGAAAAGGAGAGAAAAAATATCCCCTACTCTAGCATTAAAAAAGAGAGAAATTCCTCCATATAGTGATAATAATATTTTGTGCTGCTAATTTTTTGTTATTGTTTTATTTTCTCTTTTTTTACTCTGTGAAATTTTAGTGAAAGTGTTGAATTTTTTTTTTTTGTTAACCAGGAGAATAGAAAGAAGAGAAAATTAGTGATGATGGTGATGATGATGAAGATGGTGGTGATGATGATGATGATGGTGGTGATGATGATGATGCTGATGAATGTTGAATGCGGAAATTTGGACACGAGGCGACACCAAATAATTAACGTGATTGGCAACAGAAAGAAATGAAGTTGTCCGTGTCGGCTTATAGAGCACAGGCCAGCGCTCAACGGAAGATCCTGTCCACCTATCAGCATCAGCTGAGTTACGGTGCGACCAGTCACGCTAATTCTGCCCGGACCCCCTCTGATCCCGCGGCGGTCCTTTCTAATCTCAAGGTGAGTTTTTATTTCCATTATTTTATTAGAAAATTAAAAATAAAAAATTCTAACAAAGAATATTTACGAAAATAGTTACAAAATACTCTGGGCGAAATTATAAAATTTTTCCAAAACATATTTTTTATTATTCGTGGAAAAAAGTGTTGAGGAAATTATGTCATTGAAAAATTATACTTGCTGCAAAAAATCCCGAATCGATTGGATCAATTTTGTCTGATTTGTGACCGAATTTAGGAAATAGTTGAAAAAATATATCGATGGCTGGCTTGGCCTAGGGGTTAGAGCGTGCAACTCGTAATTGAGAGTCCAGGGTTCGATTCTTTGCGCAGGTGGGATTTTTTTTCTTGAAAACAAACAATGGTAACTTTATTAGATTTCATTAAATGATAATTTATAATTGAATAATTTGATATTATTCATAATAGGAAATAATTTTCTTGAGGGAAAATTCGATTATATTGATAGTTGTGGTCAAACACAAATTCAGCCAAATGGAAAGTTACAGGCTAATTGAATATTTGATTAAATTGAAGTTTGGATCTCACGTGGTATTTTGATTTAATGAAAATTACTCAAAATAATTAATTTTGATTAGTCGAGTGCAAAAATTTGGTAAAGTAGGAGTAAATAATTTGGTCCATTTTCGGTCAAATGGAAAACAATAATAAAAATATTTGCCAAGGACAAAATTGGACGAATGGACAAATTTGGAAATTTGGTTTAATGAAAATTTTAGCAAAATAAAAATTCGAAAAAGTAAAAGTTTCACTAAAAAAAAAATTTGTTAAATAAATATTTGAATAAATAAAAGTTTGGCAAAATGAAAATTTTTTTAAATAAGGTAAAATAGAAATTAGACTAATTTAAAATTCGGTAAATAAAAATTAGACACAATAAAAATTGAAAAAATAAAAATTCGGCCTAATGAAAATTTCCGAAAATGAAAATTTGTGTTTAATGAAAATTTATATAAAAATTCGGCAATATAAAAATTTCGTTAAATAAAAATTAAACTAAAAGTAAAATTTTGTAAAATAAAAATTCGGCAAAATGAAAATATTCTAAAATGAAATTTAATGTTAAATAAAAATTTAGTCAAAAAAAAATTCGGCAATATGAAAATTTCGTTAAATAAAAATTGGGCTAAAATGAAAATTTGGCTTAATAAATATTTATTTTAATGAATATTTATTTTAAATAAATATTTATTTTATTAAACAATAAAATAAAAATACAGTTATTTCTATATTAAATTAAAATTTGATTTATAGCAAGTTTTTTTTAATTCTTTAAATTTGTTAGTTAAATTCAAAATTTAGTTAGAAACGAAAAAAAACAATGGATAAAAAAATTTTATTTTATTTCATACTTTCGTTGCTCATCACAGTTTTGGGTTATTTTTAGTCTCGAGAGGAAATTAATTTTCGTGGATAAGTTTTAATAACATTTCCGGAAACAAATTACTATTATGAAGATTAGATTTAAACATTTAAAGATCGCGTGATGGCAAAGCTCGAAACAATGAAATTGAGAGCATGAGTATAAGATTTGATATTAGCTAATTAATTATTCCATATATATGTTGGTATATTTTCTGCGGTCGATTGCAATTCAGTTAAAAATATTTAATATTCAAAATTTTATTTTAAATCTTATGTTTGTCGCTTATTTATTTTTTTAATTAATTAAATTAATAAGTTTTTTTTATTTTTATTTACTTTCTATTCAGTTTATTTATTTTTTAATTAGTTCGTTCTTTATTCGGGATTATTATATATATTTTTCTAACTTTTATTTTATATTTGAACTTCTCGACAATTTTTTTTCCTCTTATTTCTCTTTCTAGTATTATGACATTAACAAGGAAACTTGAAATCAAATTGAGAATTTTAATTACTTTAATTAAACTCATAAAACAATATCGTTTCACGCGTTCAAAAAAGTAAAGAAACAGTAGAAAAAAAATTCCAGCAAAACTTTTTAAAACAATTCTAATGTCTATAAAACTTCTTTTTGTTTTTCGCTCACAATCATTTTCTTTTGCTTTTTTACTTAATTAAGCCTGTTAAAACAAAGTTTTTATAAGTTATTCTTATATTTATTTTCTCGAAAATAATTTTAATTTTAACAATAATAATAATATAATTTAATAAATAATAATAATCTAATAAAGTAAATAATAATATTAATTAAAATAATAATAATAATAATGATTATTATTTTAAAAACTTTTGTTCTACTATTTTTTTACTCTTTTTTTTACTAGTTTTACTAATTTATTAAATATATTTATTAAAATAGATTAAAATTATTTTTTTGTAATTAAAGAAAAATAGGGAGAACAGATGTTCTCTAAAATAATTTAAATGCTTTCTAAAGTAAGCAGAGTATAATTATTTATACCTATATACATTTTCGAGTAACAACTGTTTGACTCGTGCTTCAATCTTAAACTCGTGAGAAAACGAACTTGAGTTAAATTTGTGTAATTAGTTGAAAAGCCAGTCAGCATTCGTGAGATGAATTCATGAATTATTGCTATTCTCTGTGGATGCAAGTTATATATTTTATGTACACACATAAAACGTGTATCGCTTTAATTGCTTTTCATTTTTTTTTCATTTATTTATAACAATAATTTATTTTACGTGATTTCACAAAAAAATACAAATTGACCCCATATTTTATTTTTTGATACCAAATTTGTTTTATATCATCCGATTAGATTCATAATTTTTCGCACATATGTTTGTTTGTATGGATAATAAAGTGCAATCGTTCACACACGAAATAGTGTCGTGTATTGCTTTTAAATTGCTTTTTATTTATCTGCGTTTTTAAAATATAAAAATATACAAAATGAAGAGAAATTTGTTTTAATTTTTAATCGTTTTAATATCTAGAGCAAAAAAAAATTTTAAACGTTAGGAAAAAACTAAAACTAACAACAAATAGAAAGAAAATCAATAAAATCTAAAACCTTCTAAAAATTAATTAATTAAGAAAAATAAAATAAATATAAAAAAAAATTAGTCTGGAGATACAATATTTTATGAAGAAAAGAAAAAAATATATGAAATTACGTTATTCTTTTTCAAATAAAAATCCAACTCAAACGAAAGAAAATTAAAAATTCATTATAAATAAATAAAAGGCAAAGAAAAGAAAACATTATAAAATCGCGTTTTCTGTACAAACAAGATTTCTTTTGTGTGCAGCCTCGAGTCTGGATGTCACAACTTGTTTCGAGAGTGTGCAATCGTAGAAAATGCCCAAAAAACATCCATCGGTTCGTACCACATATACGTTTACACATATACACTTTACAGTCGAAAAATTATATTTCTTTATATATAGTTGCATTTTTTCGTAATCGTTTTATAAATTATTCTCTATTTATACTATTTACCTTTTTAATATCCCCTTTTGTAGAATGGAATTCAATTTCTAATTTTTGATCAAATTCTCCAATTCTGATTTTAAGTTGCAAAAAAAAATTGTTTTGATTTTAATAAACGAATAATACTTTGTTATTGGTAAAAAAATAATTTTTTATTAATAAAAATAGTGCTTTAATAAAATAATAAGAAAAATTATACTTTAATAAAATAATAATAAAAATTAATAAAAATTAATAATTATCTACGAATTATTAATTAAAATTATTATTATTAATTATTATTGTTAATTATCACTGTTAATTTTTGTAAATTATTATTAATAATAAAATATATAAACGCTCTTGGGTTGTTTTGTAAAAACTGTATTGTGAAGGTACCTTTAAGCACTGACCGTCCGATTGGTTAGTGTTTCAAGGTCAGGATCGACGATTGGCTGTCGATTCGTGACCTTGAAGAGCGACCAATAAGAAGTTTGATTTCACAGGACCGTAACTATTGGCAGAACTATTTTAAAATTAATAATAAAATTAATAAAGAAAATTAATAAAGAAAATTTATTTTTAAAGTCTTAAAATTAATAAAGAACGTTTATTTTTAAAGTCTTAAAATTAATAAAGAAAACTTAATTTTAAAGTCTTAAAATTAATAAAGAACATTTATTTTTAAAGTCTTAAAATTAATTAGCAATACAATATTATTTATCTTTATTTTTAAATATTTTAATACATTTAAATTACAACTTTTGTAAATTTATTAACAATATTACTAAATGTAGGAGAAACGTCCTAAAATTTCGAGTCACTAAAGAAATTGAATTGTAGATTTTGCGAAATATGAAATGAATTCCTTAAGGTTACCAGTAGAAATTTTGAATTATTGTTTTTGATATCTTGTTTCTCTATTGTAGAAAGTATATCTCGTTGGCTTGCATTCTATATTTCGAACATTTATTATTCCGTATTTTATGTGTAGTTAGATTTGTTTTTTAAAAATTTCCCTTCTTCTCTATTATGAAAAATTATATGTATAATCTATATTTTGCTTCTTAGATAAAAAAAAGTTGATCTAATTTTTAGAATATAGTAAATTAATATTAGAAAAATTAATTTTATTTAAAAATAATAATTCCTTTGAAAAAAAGGAAATTGGTAAAAAAAAACAATATCATAATGTCAATGAAAGTTACACAGAAGTAAAATTGGAATATCAGGTGAAAAAAAACAGTGATGAGGAGAAAGGATTTAATTTAATGGAAATGGTGAAAATGAAAAAGAAAGTTTAAGGATAAAATCAATATTTATACATATAAAAGTTTTATTATTAGTTTTGGAGTAGAAAATACGTTCAAGTATTTTCTCGTGACTTAGTGGATTTAATTAGTTGAAATTTGAGTTTGACCTGATTAATTATACTTTCATCATGAGCGGACTTGAAATTTTAGGATTATATATACATACAAGAAAAGCTTTCTTCACTCCTCAAGTTTTATTTTCGTTTAAATTATATTTATACACGAAGAAATCTTTGTTATAAAATCATTTCAAGTTTTCGTTTAGTATAGTGGGACGAGAAAGAAGCAAACAATAATTGCGCTCT